AAAAACTAAGTATTGTGTTCTTCATTATCTTATGGTTTTGTAAACACTTATCTAGTGGATTTGCTTTGATGTAATGAAGTTTTTCGTTGTGTTTTCTTCGTGCTTTGTGATGTGTTTATCTTACTCTTTCTTCTTCTTAGGAAATAGTGACATGAGAAATTTATGTCATTATTTTCCTTTTACTTTTCTTTTACAATGAGTGGGATTCATGTTTTGGATTTTGGGATGCATACTAGAAGAAGTTTTAATTATAAATGTGATGGTTTTTATTTGTACTTCATTTACATTACAATAAAGACATGTTGCAGTTGAAATTCGTTGTAATTGAATTAAGACCCGAGAGTGCGGTGTAATTCTCAACAAAATGGAACCCCATTCAATTTCTATGGATGGTGAAGTTCATGGGGGTTGGATGCAAATAAATAGGGAAATATACTTTGATGGGCGTAAAATTGGAGATTTTAAGGTGACAGACTAAAATCCCCAATTCGGTCTTATTGTTTAAAGAACTAAAGAGACAGTTAGCCTTCAGGGTAAGGGAAGTGGGAGCTCTAAAGTGGGAGTCAGTATCCTCCTAGCTTAGCCACAGATTTAGGGACTAAATCTGAGATTAGTCAATTATTTTCTACAACACTGACTAAGGGTAAGAAATTAAAATTGCTCATGTTTGGCATATACAACATTTAATGTATCTCATTCCTTTACATTATCCAACTCACTATATAAGAATAATAGTTTTGAAATTCTTAAAATTCTCCAAACCAATTCATCCAGAAAAGATTATCTTTAGAATTTAATATTTACATTTATGAATAATTAATATCCTTATATTTAAAATTCGCATTTAGGAGTATTTGCTAGATAAAACATCATTTTAATTGACATTCTAAACTAAGGACTAATAGTAGTAAACCAGAAGTTGACTAAGGACATCTTTCCTCACTTCCTCGTTGGATCAAAAAGTCTTATATTACTTGAAGTGATACGTACACTTGCGTAGAACCCATAGTGTGTGAACTATTTTTTATATTTTATAGCATTTCAATTTTGCATATTAGCCGCTAAATATAAATTGGGTCAAGTTTTTTATTGTCTTGAAAGCTAAATTACTACGTAATTACGAGTCGGGTCAAGTTTTTGGCCTACTAGATCCTCCATCTTCGAGAGGGCACTGATTCATATTTGCAGCAACAGATTACTTCTCTAGGTGGGCAGAGGCAATGCCGCTAAAGGAAGCTACAACAGAGCACGTCCTATACTTTTTCAAGATTCAAATTTGAAAAAATAGATTTACCATACCACGAAGAACTATCTCCGATAATAGCTCCACTTTTAAAAGCACTAAAATCAATAACTCCGTCCGATGACACGATATAGATTAGAGATACTCTACGATCTATTACCCCAAGGTGAATGGGTTAGCAAGAGCGTTCAAGGACTATTGTCCTCCTTTTTTTCTAAAGAGATTAAAAAGTCACAACATTGCCAAGAAAAAAAAAACGCAACCTCAAATTTACATCTAAACTGTAAAACTTTCAGAGTAAACGAAGATATTAAATGCTCTTAACATCCTACATCCAAATCTATAAATATCAAAAGAATGCATCAACTATGAAGATCAGTTCTACTTGAATCAGTTGAAAACCTAAGGAAACAAACTGTCAATATAAACAACCACATTGCATGAATGCTCCTAATTTCCTGCACAAACAAGATAAATTAAACCGTCACAAACTTTGCTAACAATTAACCTACAGTAATACAGCTTACCACAATTCAAAACACTCACACATGCTAGCACAAAAAGATTATCAAATAACTACAAGCTGATTCTGGTGATTTCACTGCATCCTCCTATCAAGACCAGCTTCCATTTCATCGAGAACTGGAGCCGAATCTCGCAAGGCCAAATGGTTTTGGTCCGCAGATTGGATATATAATGGCTCAGTTGTCATCGGCACCATGTTCACGTTCTCTGTAGCAACCAAAGTTGGACCGTCTTGTGACCGTGACTCAGCGAGCACTCGGAAATATGCATGGGGGCCCCAACCTGCAAGACAAGTGGTTCTGTTGATTCACTGGGTGTTTCAAGTTTTGTGATTTTAGTACAAAAGTTTTTGCTACAATTGTCAAGAGTTAACAAGTCAATTTAAGCACCATCAGAAATTACTGTTTTCCACAAAATGAACAAATGTTATAAATACTATGACTAATCAATTTTTTCACAATTTCTAGCTAATTGAAATATCATAAAGAAAGTTTTAATAATTAGGCATATAGGCATATAATTTATAACCATTCCTCTTAAACAAATAGCATCTTTCCCGCCTTACTTTTTCTTTGATTTAAATAATGGTGCAGTAGGCAAAAAATGGTTCTGTTCGCTTAGACTAAAACAAGGCTAGAGCGAAAATTAAAGGGAACTGTTCTTTCTGATCATCGGAGCAAATGATAAGCCTAAAGACGCATACTTTATCTAATTTCATTAACAAAATATATAGCTCAACATTTCAAAGCTTCTCTAACTTCTCTACTACCTCTTACTATCTATTTTGGAAAAAATGAGATAAAGAAAAAGTAAACATACCATCCACATCATAAGGAGGTGGGAAGAACTGCAAATAACAAAATGAAGCAACCACCAACCCTGAGAACAGAAAAAGATTAAAGTTATAAGAAAAACAGCAAATTAGAATGGAATTTCAGAAAAAAAAAATCATATATATATATATATATAGATATGGTACCTAAAAGACCCCCAGCACAGACATCTTGCCAGTGATGCCAATAGTCATCCACTCTAGAAACTGCAATAAGTGCAGCACATAGGAGAGGAAGAAGCACTATGCAAAGTTTCGCTACATGGCCCCTTCGGTCAAATGCTCTGATTTTCCCAGCCAAATACCATGAAAAAAAACCGAGGCCAGCAAAAGACCCTGTATTCATAATGGATCATCTTCAGAAATATTCTCACAAATATTAAGACGTATGAAATATAAAATAAAAAGCTGAAATGAGGACGAGTCATTATTATTATTCTTGTTCTCTTGGTCTTGAGCGCTCCAGCTGTCAATGGGTTGAGCATGGTATAGTTTGGTCCCAAACTGACAATAATTAAAATGAAACTAAAACAACCCATTTAATCAATATAGAACAATTAAAACGGCTCATGGCAAAGCAAACAAATAGGCATGGTTTGATTTCGATTTGTTTTTTAATTTAAGAACTTTAAATTGTAGAAATCAATTTTTATGGTTGCAGCTTTAGTTCTGTTTGGTTAGTTTTCATTTTAAATGATTATTAATAAATTGGTATGAGTTAAATCAATTTTATAGGCTTCAAAATTGATGGATCATTAATGCAAAAAATGAAGTTACATGGTAAATCAAAAAAAGGCTATAACTCCAACAGAGAATCAGATTACTACTAGAGAATGAAAATTCATTAAATTATTTATAATTATATATGATGTTTAATTGGTGCAGTTTAGTTTATTCAGGTTTTGGAGAATCACAAAGCAAAACCATGCTTCAAGCATCGGAAGGATTATAGCAGTAGTTTGATCAACTCTAGAGCCCGAATAGGCAAAACAAGTTCACAACTTACATGAAGAATGGCCGCTTGGAAAACTTTTGTGCCCTTCTCTGATTTCTTTTTTATTCCCATGACATATAACCCCTGTAGTTATGTTATCATAAACCTGAGGAAACAAAAAAATCAGTATCTGGGAAAGCAGCCTGCCGATGAACGAAAATTACTAGTAAAAGCAGAACCAGAATTTAAGAAGAGTGGTGCCGCGTATTTAAGTTAAGACTTTCATCTCCTATGAATATTTTTAAAACAATTATAAATATTATTAATAGTTAATATTAAAAGATTATTAAGTGCTTACATTTATAGGATAAAATTTTTAGTGTATTATATAATATTAAAGAATTTAGTAAAAGTCTAGGGGCAGCGAACGTCTCTCCCAGCCAATTCCTAGTTCCATCACAGTGTAACAAGATGATGGTATAACAAAAAAGAATAGTTATCCAGTTGAGCACTTACATCTTTTCCATCAGGGAAACATCGCCAAAAGAAATCCGGTCGTGGTCGACCAACCGCATCCTTAATCGCATCGGTTAAGACCCCAGTAATAAGCACGGAAAACAGAAGACCTGCCCCAATGTACAATTAATAAAAAGCTTGCTCATATCAGCTCATTCTAAGAACGGGGATGAAATCATTACCTAATATGGCATTGTGGAGATCATACACATTCTGTTTTTTAAAGTATATGCCGATGGTGATAAGAACTGGTAACAAAATCCCAATGATCTGTTTTGAAGAAAAAAGTTCTGAGTTTCTACACTTTTATGCAAATAAGCCAATTGAAGCGCAAAGATTAATTACCGGGACAACCCAAAAAGGTATAGAGTTACTCTTGAATGGATATCTCAGATCTGTCAACATCTCTCTTCCCACAAAACGATGAAAAGGTTCTATAACGTTTAATATGATATCTACAATGCCAAGAAGTATAAGTATGATCCAGTCATGCATATGAAATTTTGCTACTGTGGTTCCATGGGATCTTATAGTGTGAGCGCCAAGCTGAATATCTGCCATTTTCTCCTAGTTGAGGAAGAAAGAATTATAAGAATAACCACCACTGCAATTATTTGTGTTGCATAGAATGACAAGGTCATTAAAAACTAAAAATAAAAACAAAAACGAAGAAAAAAAAAAGAAAAGCCAGAATTTACCAAAAATGTTAATGCTAGAAGTCGAGTTGAGTTCACTAAGAATTTTGACTGTCTTATAGGGTTGTTAGTTAGAGCCTTCGCTCAATGCACATAACCCAGAATTCACCAAAAAATTTGATTAAACCCTAGGGTTGTTGGTTAAGGATTTGCTCAATAATTATAAACTAGAATGAAAAAAAGTTGAGCGAATTCGATCAAAGAATTTGACGAGCTGCTTGGGATGTTGGTTAATGCCCTAATCGATGACCATAACCTTGTTGGAAGCATTCAGGTTGAATCCCCCAATAATTTTTTACTCTCGTGGGATTGTTGAAAAGCACTGTTTTAATAACATAACTCATAATGAAAGATGTTATGTTATACATAATAAACAGAAATTTAAACCAAATTTACATGGTAAAGTTCATCAAGGAAAAGGCTAATAAAGAGGCTTCTTGCTACTAAGCTCACTAAATGAATAAAAAATTATGCAAAAGAAAAACAAATGAAAGCAAAAAAATAGACCGACTTTAAAATAATTGATAATCATAATCCAAACCGGGAAAATGGTTCAATGGTAAGGAAGCCTCTTGGCAGGAGAATCTAATTGAGCTTGGAGAAGCATGCTTAAATGTATTGTGCTTCAATTTTTAGGTGGAGCCAGACTGAAAGATCAAGGAATTGATCCTCTTGTGAGATAAGCTTCTTTTTAGGATAAACACTTGAATCATCTTTTCATTGTAGAGATCAAAATTGTTCACATTCGTGGATTCCACTGAGTGGGGTTATTTGACAGTTATCGAAGTTGCAGAGAGGTTTAATGGCAAGTTAAGCTCTCTCCCTAAAAAGACCAATGCAAAAGTTGGAGTAAAAGAGGATATCAGCAAAGCTTCCACTATTGATGAGGGCTACACCTCTCAAATCCTGATTTTGACCACTGATACATCCATACATGAACAGTGGATCATATTAAAGTGCAAGTCAATGAAGCCAACAAAACAGATTCAGGAAATGTTGTTTGAGTAAGGGTTCTTCTATGGGGGTGAGAATGATTTGACTTAACAGAAGATATCTTCCAAAAATACTGTCAATTTCTCCACCACCTATCGATTTCCATGGCATGTTATTGTGGCCATTTCCCTCACACCGCAAACTGGAAATTCCTAGGATGAAAATTCTTATGCTGGAGGATCTGATTGAGATAGCCTCGCTGTAATTTCTAAATCAATTCCCAAGGTGATGTCAAGCTTTTATGGCATGTCCATGAAAAAGATAGAAGTCACAATAATGGATTGAATTTATGAAGTTTGGCTTGAATGAATTAGATCATTTAACACATTTATCATTCTATAATACCAATAAGACAATGAATCGAGAATTGTGAAGTGGTGTGTACTCGCATTCTCACTGTTTCATTTTTTAGTTCAAGTGATAGAGATCTTACTCTTTAAATTGCTCATTCATTCTGCATTGCGTATGTTAAGTCGAACCCCCTCGAAGATCCTTCTTCTGTTTGAGCTTTATGATTATTATATATGAATGCATTTAAAAAATAGACGAACCTCATAATTTCTCTCTAATTGAGACTTTACTTACAAAATTATTTTGCTACTAAAGATGTACTTTCAAATTCAAGAGGCTTCAACGTCTGAAATAGCGTACAATTGACACTTTACCAAGAAAATCCCATTATCCACCATAATTCTAAATTCATCTAGGGATTCAAAGCTTTCCAAATCAAATTAAGGATCATCTATACCCATATTTATGTAAAATTAAAACAAAAAATTGGAAGTCTCCACAAGATGAATCAAATGATATTAAAACGATCTGACCTGAGTCCAAATGAGCCCAACTCGTGCATTATAATCATAATATAAAGTTTTGGAATTAGAGAACAAATGATCTTCAAATTTGATAATCTTAAGCATTTTAATGAGACAAACCCAACAACCTAAGATCACTTAATAAGGGACTCAAAGATTCAAAAAACACCGCATGATCAAGAGAATCATTTCATGTCATCCAATAGAGTGGTCTGAATTCATGTGAGGGGAAGGAACCTGGACTCAAAGGAGAAAACTCAAAGGCATTGAGGCCTTGAGGATTCTTGAGTGCCACCCATTTATCATCTTCAAACTAACACTATCCGGTCGCTACTGCTACCAGACTATTGTTGTTCAGCCATTTCCACCAATGGAATATCACCAAAACATCATATCACCACCATGCCACTACCACCTCAGTTCGTTGGTGATATCAAACTGTCATCACTACCGCCGCCAGCGAACCACTAATATTGCTAGATCACAGGCATGTCGTTACCATTGCATGGCCATCGCCACAACTAGACCATCGTTGCCCAATTTTAATAGTCAACTGACCTCCATCATTGTCAGATCATTGATATCATTACCAAAGCACCATTGCCATTATCAAACCATTATTATTGCACTAATGCCTAATCACCACAATCAAGCTACTGACATTTGAACACTATTATCGATTTATCACATCTAACCATGATCGTTGAACCACTGTCGTTAATCCACCGTTATTGAATTGTTGCCATGCGACCACCATTGTCAGAACATTGCTCACCTAGCAACCTCCATTGCCTGACCACAATTGTCTCGCTTTGGGTGCCCCTATGGTCTCTTAACAACGATCACCCTTTATAATTTCCTAACCTCTATCACCAAACTATGGTGCATTGAAATATGTTGCCCAACTATAACAACTTGACATTTGGCACCTAACAGGTTCCTAACCTCCATTGACAGACTCTACGGTCCACTTATTTCAACCAGCCAAATACAGTTGTTTGACTAATGTCACCCAACTACATCCACTTGATCATTGTTATTTGTTTGTAATTTACGGATCATTGTCACTTAACAATGGTAATGTGACCTCTGTCACCCTTCGACACCAATTCTGACATCATCGCCAAAAATATCAATGCACAGAATCATTGATATGATCAATGTACACCATTCACATTAAGATAACACTACAATTCTTTGTCTCTTGACTCATTTTCTCAAAGAAAAATGATGAGAAATCCTTGAATGATCTCTCGAAGGCAACTCCAGAGCCTCAAGCTTCTCGAACTTACATCATTAACCGAATCTTACATAATTACTGTCTATTATATGAATCAAAGCCTAGCCAAAATACAGGAAAATAAATCTTTTATATCCCAAAGTAGATATTAGTGCAATCATATAAACAGAACAGATCATGTGGTTTCTTCCTTTCCGGGTATTTCACGTCAAAACTTGTGTATTATCTTTCAACTATTCTTTTAACTATGTATATTGAATATTCATGTAATTCTAAAACGTCAATCTCTTACATTACAACCGCCAATTTTCTTGCAAGAAACAAAAAGGCTGAGTAGCAAGCCTATGAATCCCTACTGGTTAACCAACACCTCTTCTCCATGCATAACAGCATGTTCTACATGAAGAATTCATCCTCGTGATCCAGCTATATTTGCCAATGGTTCTAAAACGTCAATCTCTTACATTACAACCGCCAATTTTCTTGCAAGAAACAAAAAGGCTGAGTAGCAAGCCTATGAATCCCTACTGGTTAACCAACACCTCTTCTCCATGCATAACAGCATGTTCTACATGAAGAATTCATCCTCGTGATCCAGCCATATTTGCCAATGGTAAATATTACAGAAATGCAACTTAATCCACTCTTCTTTAAATTCAGTAACTTAATACGAACAACAAAATATATACAAAAATAATAAAAAATACGAAAAACAAGATTCCGGACTGTACCGCCTGACTTCTGTCCAAAAGACACACTTTTGAAAAATAACTTGGTCAAAGCTCGAAATTTAAAAAAAAAAGAAAAGAAAATAAACCTGCAACAGATGCACTATTTATAAAATTGTAATATTTCCAAAACATAAAATATGAGGAGGGCTTACGGCTGCAAAGCATGCACATAGCCAGAAAAACGAAAGAAATTGCTCAATATTGCACGACGGAGTATTTCTTCTTACCCTAAACCTCTTGTCACGGAGGAGCAGCTGCCTTTCGTCCTCGTCTGCGACAGAAACGCGACTATCCTCTGCAATAAGCACGTCAATCAGCAGACTCCAATCCTAAGACTTCTCCACAGAAAATAAACCAAAACATAAAGAGACAGGAATCCTAGCCATACCAGGAAGGCGGAGGCAGACCTCCGCCGACGGCCGAGCCAAGACGGAGTAGACAAGCGAATGGAGACGAAGCAGGTAAGACAATGGGATAGACTCCTTTCCTTTTTACAGAAATCGACAAATCACATCGGCCGATAACGACAATCCATCAAAGAAAACTTGGTTGTGGAAGAAAGAGGCGAGGAGCTGGGAGGCACAGATTCAATTTGAATTCGCGAATGGAAGATAGGATATTCCGTGTTTGCTGTCCTGCAGCGGATCTAAGATGAATAGTGCAATTATAATTACTGATGGCGACCAGTGGTCCGCAGATTAAAAAAATACTGGGAACAATAATAGCAAGAACTCGTCGGTCTAGTGGGCCTACCTTGCTCTCTAGTCAGACACTTATAAGGAGATAATTTTTACAGATGGCCACAATTTAAATTTAAAAAAATTACATTTATATTTAATAATTTAATCATGAATTTTTCATTAAAGATCTCTATTTTCCTTCACGATTGCCTTTTCATTCTTTAAAGTTTTGTTCTCTTCCTAGATAGAGGACAATTACCCTCACAAATGAAGTACTTCAGCCTGAGTTTTTTTAGGGTTTGTTTGGGGCAGCTTATAAGTGCATCGTTTGGTTCGCGCTTTTTGCCAGTTTATCTGAAACGCACAAGCTGCCCCAAACGGACCTTTAATCTTTGTCTCAGTAATAATCACATGTTTCTCAGCCATCACAGCTATTTCCACAATTGCCACAACCCCATCTTCATTCTCTGCCCATTGATCCTCTAATTCCAATCAATCTTGACCCTTAATCTTTGTCTCAATAATAGTCACATGTTTCTCAGCCATCGCAGCTATTTCCACAATTGCACAACCTCCTCCCCATTCTCTGCCCATTGATCCTCTAATTCCAATCAATCATCGAAATCCTTAAAAACGGCCATAGATTGGAAATGAGAGGCTTCATAGGCTATAATGTAGTAACAGCCAACTACCTTCCATAGCTCATTATAGCTGACTGATTGATGAACCTTCTCAAAGGCAAGGGACCAGCATACCTCCATGAGGGTGGAGGGGTACTCAGCTGTAGTAGCAGAATAGATTTATAAATCTTTCTTTAGGTAGAGCATGCTAAATTGACCTTCAGAGATGGTGCTAACCATCACAACTTAGTTGAATCCATGTAAGAAGGGACTCCATTCACCATTTCCTGGGAGGGGGCAGAGGTAGAACACATGACTTACTAACGGGAACTTTCCCCTTTTGACGACAACCATCTTCCACATAACCTGAAGTTCCTTGCTAAAAATGGGCTCTTGTTCTCATTCAAGTTCAGATTGGGCCACAAGATAAGGTCGGCTGGCTTCACCTGTAATGGTCGGGCTAGGAGTTGTGGAATCATTTCAGAGTCCTTTATTTGATGAATCCAGCTCCTCTGCGCTACTTGCCAAGTTGCTTGGATTTTGATCATTCTCCCAATGTTGTGCCTCTGATGGACCTACAACCAACAAAGTCGTCTTTGCTTTTCTCTCAATTATTATTGGCTCGCTTGTTCAGATTCTGTAAACTACCACTAATGTCTCAAAGATGGAGTATATGAAATCCCCGTCTAAAGTACTTTTGGTGGATTGGGCAAAGGACCCCCTCAGTTCGTCAATGATGTAAATTCTAGGCTTCTTTTAAGCAACTTTGACCGCCTTATCTCTACGTTGGGAATCCTTGGCATTCCTCAGCCTACAACTCAATAGTCATACCTCCAAACTTTATAGTCAGCACGTCAGTGTACTGGTGCATCGACAGGTGCCTCCCAATCACTTCTCCAGCCTTCCTCAGAGTTTGGACAGGAACAATAAGTTGTAATTTGAGTTGTCAAGTCTGTACCTCTTTTTTTTTTTTAATATAGTTGGTCGTGGCCCTCACCTTCTTACCAAAAAAATGAATTTTTAAATTTATATTTAATGTTATAAATTTATGTACAAAAAAAATAAATTTCATTTTTAAAATAAATAATAACAATATTTTAATGTGATATTAAATATTTAAGTGACATGTCACTTGAAGAATTTTTATACTATTAATTTTAAAATAAATTTTTTTTATTACAAATTACATATGGATACCATAAGAAATATTATTTCTCTATTCATGTTTATTAATGTAGAAAAGCTAAAAGTTTATGTTTTTTAGATAGATAGTTTATTTTATTATTTTATGTCAAAATGGATGTAGTTTTTAATTCTACATTTTAACTCTACTATTATATATGATTCTAACTCACATATCACTCATGAAGGCTATTTAATTAAAGCTAAGTTCATCAAATTTTCAAATGATTTAGGGTGCATTTGGCATAGTTTTTTGTTGCGGCACAACATAAAAATGTGGAATTAGTTGTGTGGTTTAAGCTGTGCGACAACTTATGAGGATAACATTGTTATAACGATGTCGTTGGCTCGAATTTGCAGCCTGTATTTTATTGCTAGCCAATAGACTGTGTTGCCCATCCTGGCATTTGCATCTCTACCCTAGTGATTCATTCCCTCGAGTATGTTCCCCTTTCTCCTCTCTCACGTCTCTATCTTATTGGTTCCTCCTCCTCTCTCATAGTGGGAGAACGGTAGAGAATGGTTGATTTGTCTTGTCCTCTGGTATATTCTAACCTCTCTCTTTGACCTTCCTTGGTGTTTTGTGGCCGCGGTTGTGGCTTGTTCTTTGAAAGTTGTGGCTTTGCTCAAGTAAACATGAATTTTATGAATTTTTCATTGCAATTCCTATGTATTTGCGAACTTTTCGATTTGTGCTTGTCATGTGTCGCTTGGATTTTGCTGTTTCTTGTTTTGATCTATGGAGAAATTGAGAAGCTAGGGAGGGAAAACACGATATTTCATTTCCACTTTATTGTGAATTTTGAATGTCATTAGGTCCTTACGGTTTTGGCTATTTGCTCTTCGCGATGTCTGGTTCACTGAGGTTTTTTGCTTGCTCTTTATAATTTGTGGCTTCGCTCTATGAATAACTAGTGATTGCATGGATAGATGAGGGATGGTGGCATGCAGGGATCTTAGAAATTCATATAACAACTGCATTTCCATTTTTCTGTGGCATATGAAGGTTTCAGGAAGGAGTGGTTCCTATTGTTATTTTGCGGGAACTATGTATAATGGGATTCTATTGTTGCTTTGTGGTCACTATGTATGATGGGAATCAATTGTTGGCTTAGGGCCTCCTTGTATGACCAATGAATTATATTGGTTTGTTGCTCGATTTTTTTGATTGGTTAGTGTTGGTTGTGAAGGTCTGATGGTGGTTGTGTGTTGGTGTTGATGATGTGGTGGCGGTTGTTTTGTTGGTGAAAAATGTTTGATGGTGGTAGTGTGGTGGTGAACTAGTGTTGGTGTTAGTGGTATGGTGGTGTTGATGAAAATTGTATGAGGGTGGTGGTGGTGGTTGCCGTCATCGTGTTGGTGATAATGGTGATGTGGTGGTGTGGTGGTGTGGTGGTAGTGGTTAGTGGTGGCAGTGGTTTGGTGGTGGTATGTGTGGTGGTGGTGGTGGTGTGGTGATGGCGTGTTGGTGGTATCTGTGGGGTTAGTGGTGGAGTAGTGGTGTTGGTGTGTTGGTTGTGATGAAGCGGTGGTGTGTTGATCGTAATTTTGTGATGGTGATCGTAGTAGTGGTAATTGTGTGGTGGTTTTCTTGGTGATTGGGTGAAGGCGTTGTTGTTGGTAGCGAAGTGGTGGTTTTTTTTTTTACGTTACCTTTCCAGCTGTAGGTTTTTAAATGATACTTTTTTGCTTTCAGAAGATAAACTTTTATTGTCTGAAATGCATAACCAATACTGATTCTGTTATAAACAACAATATAGTATAAAGGTAAAAACATATTTTTGTTATAAACAATTGTGGCACAATTGCGGCATAATTGCACAAAATGATAGACACGCAGCTGCCCCACAATAGCATCTTAGCACAGCTGTTGTGCAGTAGTTTTTTGATAAATCGCAGCTGTCCTAAACAAGTCCTTAGCTAATTATTTATTTAGAAATTAAGATAATAAGAAATGATGAAGCTTACGTAAAATATAGTTTATTTTAAAATTTTATGAATATGAAGTATCAAATAACGTAAGAATGTTATCTATTTATTAATTTGATTTCAATGAAATCAAATTCATTTTTCCACTGATTAAGACTCATTCATTTTTCCTAAATTTCAAGTAATCCTTAAAGGTCCTCAAATTACTTTAAACTTAAACAAACTTTAAACAAATCTTCAAGTAAACTTCAAATATCTTCAAACAAACTTTAAAAAGATTTCAAATACACTTAAAACCAGCAACCATCATAACTTAAACAGAATCCTAATCAAACAAACCAAATCAACTCAAAACAAGTTTCAAATGAAATCAAATTCAACCAACTCAAAACTTAAGCTCAATTAAATAAATCCAAATTAAACTCTTTCAATTGAAATAAATCTTAATCAAACTCTATCAAATTAAACCAAACTTCATAAAATCAAATCAATCCAAATCAAACATTTTCAAACAAAATTAATATAAATCAAATTCTTTCAAATCGAATTAATCCAAATAAAACTTTTTCAAACCAAATTATTCCAAATTAAGATTTTTCAAACCAAATCATTTCAAGCCAAACACTTTCACATCAAACATTTCTCAAATCCAAAAGTTAAACCCTTTTCAAAATATTCACATATCCAATCTTAGGCCATGCATTCTTCCCAAAGTTGGATAAACCTTTCGATGGGCCTTTTTGCGACACATTTTCATCAAACTATAAGTACCAAACTTTTGATTCCACTAAAATCCTTTCATAACCATCTATCAAACTATGATCATGAAATATCGATTTTCAAGACCTTTATTATATAATCATGAAGTCACAACCCTCAAGATTTAATTAAATATGAGGGCTTACCCTCATAGGTATACTAGGCGCTAGAATAAAATTAAACTTTTTCTTGCCCCCCACAAGGTAGGGGGTGCAATTAATATAGACCCATAAATCTTAACTATTTCTTCATTTAAATAGTTAGATCTATGTAATATTTTTTTTTCTTGGGATAGTATATTATTCTTCAAATGATACATCTTACCATTTAGATAGAAATCTTCCAAGATCTATAGTGGATACTTGTTACAAAAAAATATATCTCATCAAGGTTTTTCTAATG